TATAGAACCTATCAGAAGAAACATTTCCAGTTACATGTGACGCCCAAACGCACCAATAGCTACCGCATGGAATGCAGGTGATGCTTGGGATCATCATGGGGTCCAACCCAAGATTTGCACGACTCTGACTTTGAATGTTACAGTCATTGTGGAATTGGATTCCAGGGTGGAAACATCAGTTTAATTGTTTTAGTGACCAGAAAAACAAATTTTGATATGCGTCGGCTTACCCAAAATGAAAGGTTACGTGCCCTTGGCATGCTACAGATCGGCACAACACAGGCGGTTGTGGCGCGGACGATGAATGTTTCTCAGTCTGTCATAAGCAGGCTATGGTCCAGATACCGTGATACACAATCTGTACAGGACAGACCACGCTCAGGTCGACCAAGGGCGACAACTCAAGCCTAGGATCGATTTATCCGTACCTGGGCCTTGAGAAATCGTGTCATCACAGCAAATCAGATCAGCGCTCGTCTTCAAACAGACACTGGTGTGAGAGTGAGTGGCCAGACGATTCGGAATCGACTGCATAGGGGTCACCTTCGCGCCCGACGTCCTCGCGTGATCCCTTGTTTGAGAGATCATCACATTCAGGCAAGACGTCGTTGGTGTAGGGATCGTCAACACTGGGATAATCGACGCTGGAGCAATGTGATGTTTTCAGATGAGTCAAGGTTCACTGTTGATTTTTTGGACAGACGTAGGAGGGTGTGGCGTCGTCGAAACGAGCGCTTCCAAGACGTTAACGTCATCAGACATGATCGATTTGGGGGTGGTTCTGTTATGGTGTGGGGAGGCATCACTGTTGCTGGAAGAACGGCTTTACATGTTGTTGCAGGGCGTGTTACAGGCCAGTACTACCGGGACAACATCTTGGCAGTCCATGTTGTGCCGTTCGCACGACGTCATGGCCGCCGTTTCATCTTCCAGGATGACAACGCAAGATGTCACAGGGCCAGGATCGTTACAGGTTACCTCCAACAACAGAACATCACCACATTACCTTGGCCAGCACTGAGTCCCGACCTCTCCCCCATCGAGCATGTCTGGGACATGCTTGGACAGAGGTTACGTCAACGTCAACAACGTCCTGCCAATGTCCAAGAACTTGCTGCTGCGTTGCAACAGGAATGGGACAATCTGGACCAAAATGACCTTAGACGTCTCATTAGGAGTATGCCACGTCGGATCAATGCTTGTTTGGCAAACAGAGGAGGATTTACCCGTTACTGACTTGGTTGTGATGCTGTGGTAACTTTGCTGTTTGACCCCGGGTATCATTTTACCCTTATAATGGTCAGTCTGTGCCTTACTTAGTCTAACGATCATTTGGAATAAATCGATGAATGTGAACTTCATTTCATTTTGTCATTTGTTTCTTCGTCAGTTTCATTAGGTGACTTTAATAACACTTAAAAATCAAATATCCCCTACTTTTTTTGAATAGTATATATAGTAATTTCGACTTCTAATCATTTTTTCCTCTGCTGTTTTAATCGAAAAATTGGACCACTACGACGTGATGTTTTACGTTAAATAGTAGGAGTTATTCAGTTACACATCTGGAATAAGTAAGAACGAATTTCGGAAGCTTGGTTATAAATTTGGTTATACAATGCCTGGTCTCTAACCTATAGGGAAATGGACATGTGTTGACTAAGCTACGGACGACGGGGACACGAATAAATATTAGATGATAAAAAGTATAATAGTCTGAAGAGTCTTCAAACGAAAATGTGGACAACCGACCGTTCGACTAAAGTGACTTTAATTGGAAAACTTTATGTACATACAAATAAGGTTACACCGAGTTACTTTTAAAATTCTTAAAAAATATCCGGCATGGTTAAAATAAGGAGTTTAAAGTAAATTGAACTGACGAACTTGATAATTTCATAGGAATGTGATATTTAATGTAACCCGAATGTCTTAGGATGTCCGTAAAACACATCATTTTATCATGGCAAATTCTATAAACAATGTATATAAGTTACTCACAGCCAGACATTTCATCTAGTTTCAAATCCAATTTTTTTTTCACCGAAGAAAATAATTTGTCATTTTTTCTGTATACAGAGCATATAAAAAGCTCTTCACTAGTTTTGTCTGTCTGTTATACACGTACCAGCAGATTTCACATATGTTTCCATATTCCGTTCCGTGTTTAAAGAGACATTATGTAAGAGTTAATTCTGCGTATTACGGGTCTTTTTCACTCAAATATTCTATAAATTATTATTTAGACATTTAATCGTTTGATAAGACTATAATCATAGACCCAAAGGGTGGCTTAGATATTGAGTGGAATAGAAAATGACCGCCACACACTGAGACTGTTGAAAAACGACTGTACGTCGGTACTGCGTTTACTATCGTGGCAATGGCACTTAACATTCGAGAATATGAACTCATAATTGGCATTCGCCGAAGATAATTTAGGCCATTACTATCAAAACTTCAAACATTTAAAACGCCGCTCAGAATAATGTAATTTGACTGAAATTTTAAATTTATTTACTTTTCTTTATCTATTGTTTGAACTTTTATAGCAAGAACGATTAGCTCTTTATCTATATATACTAGCGTGACATTTTGTACGTCATGAAACCTCTCGAATTGGTAATAGTACTTTAGTTCTTTAACCTCTCATTCTACAACCTCTCGAAAACAGGTCAGTACATTTTGTACTTGTGTAACGCGTACGTTGCCATGCTGAATAAATACTGCCGCCTTCATTGGTCGTGTTTCCATTTGTAAGTGAAGGTCTTCTCTAGAACTGGGTTTATCGTAAGTAGTATAATATTTGTTCTATGCATGTCGGAATGGGTGGGGTGGGGGCGTGTGTTTTAGATCATTGTATCGAGCCCAAGCTTGTCATTGATTCAAGTGGCGTGGTTTCGAGCCACAGCTTGTACGTGACAAGGAGTAGGGTCGCCTGTTCAAATTCGACGGCATTTCTAAGGGTCCTCCGGTTTCCTACCCACTGCAAATTATTGATATAACATTGGACCGTATGATAGTCCCAAAATCACCTATTAGTTTGTGTCAGCATGTGTTGTAGCTGTTGAGTACCCTTGCAAGATTTATACTGGTAAAGTCAAAGAAGTGGACAGTAATAAATATGAAATCTATGCAATAGTGCTAGCTTGGGGATTTTGGAAGTCGACCCAAATCCTATTACTTATTATAATATCAAATATTTTATTTAGAAGCACAGAAACCTTTACAATATATTTTACAATCGGGATATTTTTATATTGACTGAAATCGCTTATTGCACATGGCTTTTTTTATCATATATTTGATCAAAAGATTATATGCACCTGGGTAATAACGACGCGTTTATGAGAAATAATATTGATAGGGGTAATGAAAATGGATTTTATCGGTAAAAACAAAAGTTACTATTACTTTGATGTTTTAATGACGACATTGCCACGGTAACAGTGGCAATTTTTGGCAAAAAATAACATTTTAAGCATGGAGTTGCAGAATTCATTAAGCACGCCAGAGTTGCTCTCGTGTGTTAACAGTGTCATTATATATGATAGTTCATGATACATGATACCCCATGTTTGTCTTCTTGGCGGCTTCTGTCTGCGTCTCATCCTTAATGAGAGACAACTGTGTAGTGTTTCTTCCAGTTCTTGCAAATTATGTACAACTTTACTGGACCCACTGCTTGTACACGACGACAATGCCATCCAATTATGTGCCTCGGTAGATTTAAATTCAGACTCGTGGTCGACTAAGTCCTCACAGGTGGCGAGTGTGTTGTTGTCAAAATGGGGAATGACAATCAATTCCATGGCAATGCAAAAGTAGGCCTACTGATCAACTGTGAGATTTCCTGGTATGGTGAACATGTCCAGCTTCCAGGTTCATCTATTCGTGATATAGGGCAAAAAACTGCTTTCTTCTGATCAATTAGATATTCTCCGCCCGAACTCAGATTCCAATCCTGTAGCTGAACACCATATCAGACGTATTCTCAGATGCTAATCTGTCAGTAAGATGCATTTGATGACCCTTCTTAAGGCAAGCCCAGGCGGGTTTGCAACGTAATGGCGGGCATATGGCAATTGAGTAGACGTAGTTAGGCTTGAGGAGGGAACTTGTTGCAAGGGCTGATGTCATACTATTCGTGGTCAGTCCTTTATCAGGATTTAGTTAGTTCATGTTTCCGAACAAGACGGTGATGATGGTGTCATGTAATCCCGGTGACGACCAATGATTGTTAAGGACACTCCTGTCGAGTACATGCCGATCATCTACCATCTTTGCGCTTTTAACAATCTCTTTCCTCGCACACATCATTTTGAAAACAGTAAGTGTGGTATATGGCATACACAGGTACTGGGCATTCCAGTCACTCGTAGCCCACATCACCTAAATTTTCTATTCTAATATATTACTGTAGGGTAGATCTCATAATTAGAAAAGTTTGGAATTTTACATTTATTTATTTGTTGGTGTTTTTTTTTTTTATTTTTATTAAATCTTTAATAGCCTATACCTAAAAGTGAATAAAGGTCGCGATTGAACTACTGAAATGAAAATAGGCATTTGGCCCAAGATGAAAATAAAAATTATGGTATTTCAATTCTAGGATTTTCTGCTGTTTTTTCATTTAACAAACTGTTCCTACCATACTACAATCTTACCAGAAAATATTATCTGCCACAGTTAAAAATTTGAAGTTAACATTACACAAGATTAAGGTTTACCAGGCAACTCCAAAACTAATTAAAATTAGATTTGAATTCACTGGAAGTTTAAAATTAGCGATAGTGCTTCAGGAACTGTTTACAGGTCGTTGGGATAAGGGCTATCGGTAAAAGGACAATTTTATGATTTTGAATAGCATATTAGGCTTACTATAGCTTATTAATATTGAATCTGATTTAGTCTGTTAATTTTCCGCAATTTCTGAAAAAAAGGTTTCGTTTCTGCATCAACATTACTGCTAAATAGTCATATATATTTTACTTACAGTAATTATTCATAACGACAGGAAACTATGGAATTTGAAGAGATTATCAAGCATCTAGGTGATTTTGGAACTTACCAGAAACGGTTATATTATATGCTATGTATATCATCTGTATTTACGGCTATACAAGTATTGTTAACTGTATTTACCTTTGGTATACCTGAACACAGGTGAGATTTTACTAATTACGCTCTATTATAGTAATAATATCACCAAAATATATCATAGTGATTTATTAGTGATGAGTCTTTAAAGTAGCATTATTGTTATTAATTTGTAAATACCAACAACACCCAATGTTTGTACAGGGTTAAAACACACGATAATTATGGTTCCATTTATTGAATCTTACAAATCTCCACATTTCACAAATATAACGGTTGAAAACTCTAATTCTTAAATTAGTAGACTACCAAAATAACGTTTACTAGGTGACTTTATAAAGAGATAAACAATGGACAATACTTGAAAATGTTGTAATTATAGTCAATAGCTTTGTAGCAACCATTTTTGCAATAAAATTAAATTAAATTATTGCCAAATGGGTCGATATTGCAAAAGTAGAACGTCGTGGGAACCATTTTTGCAATAAAACCATTTTTGGAATAAATGTTTCTTTTGTCATTTTCATCACCATAATGATCGTTTATTCACCCTGATGATTAACCGAATCATTTTTGAAGTATTCATCCATCTTATCATCAGCAACACCATTTCCATACTCATTTGTTATTACACAAATGGTTGCTACATAGCCTAGTATGGTTTAAAGCTGATTAATGCTGACAAATTATTCTGCTTGTATAGACTCGTTGACACTTTAAAAAACTTAAATGCTGGTATTTTCTTCTAAACTATATATTTGAAACAAATATAAGGTTCGTTTATCCTAATTACTCAATTGGGATATTTTTGATTGCCCTTCAGACGTATAAATAGATATATATTAAACAAATTGATTTTTTTCGTGTAAATTTAGCTTACAGAAATAATTTATAGGTGTGCCGTTCCTGGTCTTGTTAACGACACATTTCAGAAGAATGAACTAAACGATTCTTTGGGTGAATTTGTATATGAAGATAAAGTCTATAAACAGTGCTCAATTTATTCCTTGTCTTCACAAAATGTAACGACATGTAAGAGATGGGTCTATGATAAATCTATATTTGAATCTTCAATAATTACACAGGTATGTGGTTCCGTGGTCTATATACTTTTTCAGATTTACACACGTCAGAAAATTAAGAACTCATTTGGGGTAAATCTTCTTTGCCATCGGTCGATTGGAGGATTTGGTATGGTAGTCGAGGAATGCAGTATGGCCATGGGTATTCGATTTTCGAGTAAAATTTATTAGTTTCAAATCTTGGTCTAGTCCTTTGAAAGATATGGATAACGAGGATCATCAATGCAGACGGGCGCAGAAAACGTGAAGAAAACCTCCGTGTCGAGTGGAATTAATAAAAAAAATACCAGTGAGTGTTATAAAAGTAATTGTCCCAATTGTTTATCGGAATTTTGCAACTGACAATCTGAATTGTCTACCAGATTATATTTTGTAAACTTTATGCAAAATTTCCCACCAAAACCATACCAGGGACAGGTGCTGAACAATACAAAATATTTTTGGTCATAATTCTATTGTTTGAAGAAATTGAATCTCTTTAAATATTTTAGATTGATATAGTCTGTAATGAAAAGATTGCGAAATCACACGCCCAAATGTTAGTAATGCTTGGACAAGTTGTGGGTTGTGCTATTGTTGGACCATTATCAGATAGGTGAGTTATTTTATTTTTAAAAAGCCACAAAATAATTTGTGAACGTATATTTTTGTTACTCGTTGCTCCTCATTAGCCCAGTCGTTACACTTCTACATAAAGCTTCTGTTTCAGGAATTAGGGATTGTGCTCTCTATATATAATGTTAAAGAAACGTGTAGACTTATTCGTAATCAACCGTTTGTCTCGACCTCAAATAAATTTAGACGTTTTTCGTTCAACTACACGTACACTGATTATGTGTTGGCCGAGAAAGTACCTTGGGATTTTCCAGAAAGATTTTCTTTGTCGGTGGAACAGAACGAAGGGCCTGGTAAAGAACTGTGTCAAGTCGTTCGTCGTCATTATCCCGGCTGGAGCAGAACAGTAGGTCGTTAAACCCAATAATTTTCATTTCATTTTCATTTCTTACAGTAAAAGTGTGTTGAAATATTTGCATGTACAATAGACATTATTGCTTTGAAAAATGCTGTTTTTCATCGGTTACCAAATAGAAAAGCCACCCTTTCTGTCCTGCCCCTGCTCACTGTTACCATGTTCACCTGAAAAGCTGTAGATTTTGTTGCTGTTATCAGATAAAAGCGTTCTTATAATAAATATATACCTTTAAACACATTCTCAGAAATATTCTAAAATTTTACAATCTTTTCTCTCTTCAGATTCGGCCGAAAGACAATGCTGTGTTCTTTTCTGATAATATTTATAATTTCTTCAATAGCCGTAACTTGGACGCCTACCATTCGTGTAGTATTTGCTTTTTATTTCTTCATCGGAACCAGTATTTCTGGAACATTTACACCAGCTTTTGTTCTTGGTAAATATCAAATATTTAATATTTTAACACAAATGTATTTAATTTCGATGAATCAAATTTGCCATATAAAAGAGTTTTGTGATTTGAGCACCTCAGACTACTTTCAATATTAGATTTATGACATTCATCTTCTCTTTTAGGTATGGAATTAGTCGGCCCAAAGTCCCGAGTATGGGCTGGTATGATAACTGAGTTATTCTGGTCTTTAGGAACAATAATATTAGCAGGGGCTGCCTATTGGATCAGAAATTGGCAAACTCTTCAACTAACAATGTCCGTTCCTGGCATTATTCTTTTGTCTTATTTCTGGTAAGTATTATTTATTTTGTTTCCGTATACCAAGCATGAATTTAATTTTTAAAAAGCCCTAAAAAAAACCTGCATTTTCACAGACCGATATCGATTTATTTTTTTTATTTTTGGCAGTATCTCCACCAAATAAAATATTGCCGTCTAACCTATCGGAATAGTCGAATTCTTTTAAATAGAAACCATAAAACTAAAAAAAAAATAACACTACCTGCGATTACGTTTACTTGCGCAGATTTGCCGGGAACATACCACGCCGCCTGGAATTCGTTGCCATATGCTCTCGTCATTTTTTACTCTAAACGTTATAACTAGGTGAACTACTAGCATTATGTAAGTATATGATAGTGTCCATTGTTCCAGTATATTATACATACACTTTATTGATGGCAGTGTTTGCATGGTTGTATAACCTGGGAAATGTTATGTGGACATTAACATACTATTCACAATATCTGCCGCCGTACCGTTGGTCACCAGCACATGACTTAGTGGATAGATAGCATGCTCTTATGTCATAGATACTTGCATTTCACAGACTTTGACATGCTATTTTACATACGGAATGTATGTATTCTTTATTTCTTTCTTAATTCCTGGGTAAGAATCAAGAAACTAATGCAGTAAATAATGAAATTTTATTACGCCCTATTGGAATTTATCTGCAGAAAACCACACCAACACCGATAGATGGTACATGTATACCTGTGAAATGTGGGTAAAAAGGGGTATTTTTTGTTTTGCCTGTTTATATTAACTAGAAATTTAAACATTATTTCAGTCTTATTACTGAGTCTCCCAGGTGGTTAATAAGTAAGGGTAGATATAAAGAAGCTGAAAAGATCATTCAAAAAGCAGCTAAAGTTAATAAAGTTGTTATACCATCAAGACTATTGAGAAGAAGTCAGTCAAGATTTATAGAACCAAAAAATGAATCTGTATTTAAAGTATTTACTTCGCGGATTCTTGTAATCAGAACTGTCATAGTTTATATAAATTGGTAAGTAACTGTTATAGTAATTGTTATACTCCAACACTGTAATGTGGTCTGTTGCATGATTTTCGTCTCCGCTTGTAGGGCCGGATTAAGGCACAGGTCAACTAGGCCATGACCTAGGGCCCTGTGCTTTTAGGATCCCCGCGTAATCATTCACTGTGTTTCCCCAAGCTCTCGTCTGGTTCATTAGGTCCTCTCAATAATCTGCTGACAGTAGCCCTGATATAAGCAATGGGTCGGGTGACCGCTTCAAATTGCTTATAGCCGATTTTTCTTATTTTATGGGATTTCTTAGTAAATAAAGTGAAACTTTTATAGTATGGAATATTAAATAGACCTATACTTTCCTGTGTTTCTATTATTAAGTAGAATTTACAGTACAGTAGGATTAATAACAATAACAGATAGTTGCACTTATGTAACACGTTTACTTAGAATAGCTACACTTCATGTGCTGCTTGCAGGCGTGACAAAAAAAAAATGATTATATCCGGACTTGCACTGCTTATATCAATTTGCATTGAAATAAACGGTTACGAGACAATAGTTGCAGTATTTGATGAATGGATGGATGCCTGTGTAATAGGCCCCATGAAATATTTTGACCTTGGGTTCCCACAAAACCTTAATCCGACTCAGCTCACATGGACTTATTCATAGTTAAGGCGACCCCAATCTAAAATTAGATCACCAAGTAAGAATATTTACAAGGCTCTGTTATTCTTTCATTTCGTATATTGTGCTTATCTTGCAATTTACAAAGTTATTTTCCATGTCTGGAAAACATCTGATTTGTGGCTGTTTTTTCCCGAAACATGTTTGGTTTAATCAGTATCATCATGCAGAGGAACCATATGAAAAATTAGCTCACTCCTACAATTATTTACTTGTGTTTATCACATCATGTAAGCATTTATTTCGTTTGATTTTGTTTTCGGTGAATTTTAAAGCTAAATTGTCGTAAACGGGAAAATATGCTTAGTCATCCACTCGCCAATACACTGGCTTTCACGTAGAGTCACCGTATTCAAACCGTATTCAGAGTATTTAAATGTAATCATATGTAATCGTTTCTAGGAAAGAAGTGTGATCTTTCCTTAATAGTCGCTTTCTCTTGGCAGGGCAGCCTGCAGTTTGACGTTTTATGGCCTAACTCTGAATGCTGGAAATCTTAGTGGCAGTATTCATCTTAATTTCTTCCTGTTAAATATCATAGAAGTTCCAGCTTATGTTATATGTATAGTGTTGTTGGATAGAATTGGTAGAAGAATTCTTCATTGCTCGTCCTTGTTTCTCAGTGGAGCATGTATTACTTTGTCAATATTTACTGTATTATATGCTGATAAATGTAAGTTTTATGCTACATCTATTGTGTACTTTATTATCCCGCGCTGAACGAAGTGATTTGGAGGATATTGGAAAAGACTGCATCTTTCCGTCCATCTATCTCGATCCATGTCGATTTTGTTTCTGGAGGTATCTCATTTCGCATCCTGTAAAATATGTTGATTGAATATCCATATTATAGTAGTTGTGGCTATTGTTAATTACCGTAGAACATTTTCGGATTAAATATATGGAAACTAATCTGACTTCTTTCATATTATTAATGTAATAGAAGCAGATATTGCGGACATTGTGCGTTAGTTCGCCTTTTGTTGATTTTAAAATGCACACACAAATGTCTGAAATTTGCATGAAAACAGCTCGTTATGTCAACCAATACAACCGTTTAATAAGTTCCGTTATTACACTTACAGCTCTGGCATGGATAACAACTCTCCTAGCTGTTATTGGAAAAATGGGAATAACTGCAGCATTTGCCATAATGTGGATTTATACGACAGAATTGTTTCCAACGCCTTTCCGTAATTCAGCAGTTGGTACAAGTAGTTTGATGGCCAGAATAGCAGCAGCCATTTCACCTTACATAGCAAATATTGTAGGTTAAGTAATATATATATTTATGTCAGCGTAACTATGGGATGTGTGTTTTGGTGTCGGTTTCTGTGAATACAGCGGTGAAATGACAAAATATTTAGATTACAACATAGCTGTACCAACTGATCCGTAAAGGTAATGCGAAGTTGATGCATAGTACAAATTAGTACAAATGAACTGAAATGAAATGGGCTTAATGGGGCAGATACGCCATACTGTGTGCTATGAGGGATATGTTGCCTGCCCGGAGCGGCGCTACGGCCTACTCTTATCTCGAATTCCACCCGTTAAGAGCTCTTTACGTGCACATCAATGTGTATATGACACTTCGGTTTTTCGTCCCATCAGACCGACTAGATGCTTTCCTAGCCAGCTCCCACCCCCGCCCTGCACCACCTACAGGGGGAACCAAACTAAGCTTAGTACAAACATGTTGGTGAGCTCTATATAGCTGTTTGTATGTCTGTTGTTTTTTTTTCAGGGATTAATAGTACCTGGAAATGCAGGTAAAATAACACCTATGATTATATTTGGAATAACCTCAATAATAGCAGGTTTATTGGCCTTACTGTTACCTGAAACTAAAGGTCGTCTTTTACCAGAAACAATTGAAGATGCTGAACAATTTACAAAGTAAGATATATATTTATGGTTGATAATGAATACCTTCGACATGCCAAACTCCTATGGGTTCATTTATGGGCACCCCATTGTCCACAAGAGGTAGGGTTTTTGCCCAATCCGAGCAAACAGACGCTTCTCCTTGTGCTGTGTCGTGTCGTCATCCCCAACCACAAATATAGGAGTTTATCAACGAATTTCTCGTTTCTGAATACATACTATCAATAAGCAAAATCAACGTTTTACATTTATTTGTTTACTCCACAGCAACACATCAGATGACGATATGGACAAAGGTGAGGAATTGAAGGTGCTGAATTCAGAGAAAATTTAAACACAAGAGACTGGTGTCCACAGAGTTTTGTAGTTACAGATATAAGACACTGGTTGCTACTGGTTGCTATCTGGAGATATGTAGTTAAAATATATAAAGCCCCCCCCCCCACACCTAACACAAACACACACCAGACAAGAAAAAAAGAAACCCAGATTCATTTTATAATGTTATGTTTATATAAAAATTATTTTCAACCCCGTATACGGTTTTCAGGTAGATACAATATTCGAATACAATACATATACCTTTTTGTATAGACACCCATATATTAACACCCATAGCATTCTCCCATATTAACCTAATTGACGGCATGTTTACTCTTTAATATTATTAATTGTACCCATGTTTAATGAGCTATGAATAAAACGGCAGTTGTTTCTGGATAACTGAATCTTGCTTGCGATATCACCCCAGGTGGAAGTGGACGCTAACCTCAAGCTATTATTATTATTATCATTATTATTGTTATTGTTATTATTATTATTATTAGTAGTAGTAGTAGTAGTAGGTAGTAGTAGTAGTAGTAGTAGTAATAGTAGTAGTAGTAGTAGTGAGGAATCAAAAGCCCGAGAGCTTCATCAGTGTTATTTATTAAGCCACTTTGTATACTAAAACCAATTATCAACTGATATAAAGTGAAAGTTTTAACTGTATTTTCAAAATGTACATTACAATATCCTAATTTATATTTTATTTGCTAAAGATCACCAAAGAAATACATCGCTGATGGAACTTTTAGGAGCGAAGCGTATCAATATATTCTTATCCATTGTAGGGGGTACGGTTATTGGCAAGAGATAAACAAAGTATATTTAATTGAATATATGTGATTGAAGTATATTCGTTAAAATATGAGAGGAGGTATATAAAATAATTTACAGTCAACATGATGTTTTAATAACATCATGTTATATTTTTATTTCATATTACATGTGGGTTGTATAATTTTCTGAATTTGAGTTTTCTTTTAATCGGGCGTTCTCATGTTGTATATTTAACCTGCAATAAAGCATAAATTTAAACTTGTAAATACCAAAACAAACATTGAATATAAATTTAAACGATTCTCAAGTCACTAATCTGGTCAATTGGGCGCTGAACAACCAGCACCTGGTTTTGGCTGGGTATCTTACCCTTTTCTGTTATCAAAACAATTTAAACTCGACATTTTCACTAGTAAATCAGTACCCCGTGTACAAAATTATAATCAATATACTTAATAATAATAGATAAATAGAAAAAAAAATACCAAGTCAAAGATTTATACTAATAATGCACAACATTGGGGGTTATTGAAGAGCATCCTAACAGTGAATTACCTAAATGACACACAAACGAAGTAACGTGATGAACCAATTTTCTTACCATATAGACACGGTACCATCTGAGTGCCATCGTCGCTGAAGCCAGTCAAACCAATAACGGTCTAGCACATATGACGTAATATGTGGGGTTAGGGTTAGGGTAAGGCTTAGGGCTGCAAATTTCACATCCCTGGTCCAGAAACATTTTGTTGTATGGTATAAAAAAGTGTTCTTACTTTGTAAATTGTTCAGCATCTTCGATAGTTTCTGGTAAAAAACGACCTTTAGTTTCAGGTAAGAGTAAGGCCAGTAATCCTGCTATTATTGAAGTTATTCCAAATATAATCATAGGTGCTGCTTTACCTATAGCACCAGGTATCATCAATCCCTGAAATAATGCAATATATACATTGATAAGCCTCGGAAATAGAAAACTGATTTATAAAGTACACCTCTACTGGAATCACATGTAATAATCAAAACGGTTTGAGGTAGCTAACATAACTGCTTGTATTCACCCACTATATAACATGAACACTGCCACAAAAAAAAAATGACTATTCTCATTGACCCCATCTTCTTTGTTGTATCTATAACTAATTTCTCGATTCTTATATTTTCATATTACTCGCATACTTGATTTAACGACAATGTTTACTGTTATTTGGCAAAATAATACAAATGTTAATATACGCAATATGGAGTGAAGAAACTCACCCAAGCCGGATAAAAATTAATAGTAAATAAACGAAATTAAAAAAAGAAACAAAACACAAGTACTCCTGGACAATGACCCTTTCCTTTGACTTTTCTGAAAGTACAAAACAATTTCCGACCAACGGGAAATTCCTGGATCCGTGCTTGTAAACTATCCATTTCATATCGTTTCTGCACAATACCCACAAAGATGAAAACAATTCGTAAAATGTCCTTTACAATTAGAATCTGTAATCTTTTCTATGGATACTTACAAGGTTAGCAACGTATGGTGAAGATGTTGCTGCTAATCTAGCCATCATACTACTAGATCCTACACCTGAATTTCTAACAACTGTTGGAAATAATTCAGATGTATATATCCACAAGTTAGCAAAGGCTGCAGTAATTCCAAGTTTTCCTAGTACTGCCAGGAGGGTGACTGTCCAGCTGAAAGCTAAAACAAATTATTGGTGTGTATTTATGTTATATTTATATCATTATAAGTTATTGTGAGGTTTACAGGATGCACCACACAGCTAATCTATCAAATGCTGTGAAACATTCTAATGTTCCGAATGTTCCATCAGAAAATATGGACATTACGTGCTAGAAGTGTGCAGTGGAAACCCCTGCATCGCATTTATAATCATGTAATCATAAAAATAGCCATTTCAAAATGAACCAAGTATAATGATAAACAATCCGATTTCGTTTTGTTTTACTTGCCTTCACTACACTAGAATATGGAAGATGTGGTGGGTTAGCCAATGAAACTGTCTGCTGTGGCGAGTTATTGGGGTACGTGCACGGAACTGTGGGTAGACATCCGCAGCGAAAACAAAACAAATACCATCTTGAAACATCAACGCTGATTGATTAATCAAATGTCTGTCGTCATCGGGTCACAAGTCGATCGTATGACCCCTGACGCGATCTCCAACTACAACTGGTCAGATTTTCATGTAGTGGTGGTCATCGAAAGTATTAAAAACGAAACGAAATATAGATCCGTATTTTAATCAGATCAAGCTCCATGAACATCCATTTTGTTGTGTCTGGATAAACTATGGCTCACTATGCGAATTTGGCAGGAATAGTCTTGTTTATCACCTCACTCAGTGAAATTGGGGAGGGGGGGGGGCCAGAGCTCTAAAAGAATAACGTAGTACATAGAAATAGACACTGTTTTGGCGATCAAACGGTAGGATATTTTAAGCTGCGACTTTTAGATAGGATAAGCTCTATCTGTGCACTTTTTAGCTTTAACAATGTAATTTAAATGACCGAAATAGTTGTACGTACATTCATCTGCAAATACAATTGGTAGTGTGGTCATGACTAAAGATAAACCACAAAATATCATGGAGGAGCAGTACAGGATACGCCGCCCTAGTCTGTCAATGAGTACATTACATATTATAAATCCAGGCAGTTCCACGGCAGATATCAGGAAAAAGTTCAGAAACAAGTTACCGCTTAAACTGCTGGCATGAAGAGCTACTCCATAGAAGGTCAGACTACATGTTGCCCTGGATAACAAACAAAAGACACACAGAGGTCAGATTACAGGCCCGTAGCTAGTGCAAAAATGTTGGGGAGGGGGGGGCAAGGGTTTCTAGGGGCGCCGATGTACTTACACTTGACGACCCCCCAACCCCCTCCCCAAAAAAATAACAAGTTAGGAAATAAGGGTTTGTAACAGAGGAAAGGAACTATGAAAATGCCGTTTTGGGCGCCCCATTGATCAAGTCGTGGGCGCCCAACCAACTCACTCGGCATTATGCATTATATGCGGCCCGACAATCATATATTGTCATTATAAGTCGCCCACCAATCATGTCACAGATCACGCCATTTTGGGCGCCCAATGAATCAGGTTGTGTTGTCAATCGTGTGATTCATCATGAGCCGTCCATAAAACGAAGTGACATTGGTTGGACGCCCAATGCCGCCCATTTTGATTTGGGCACGTTGGTCGTAGGTTTCGTATTGCCTCAAACGATAAGGGCGCGCTGCGCTGATTTTTTTCGAAGGCTGGGCCAGCTGCCCCCCCCCCCTCCCCGCTAGCCACGGGCTTGGATTAATACTGGGTATCATGTACTAAATATGGTAGGCTTACTTTTTCTAGAACAACTTATACCACATAACTTATAAACTTGTACTTTTGCATTAATATATTTACCAAGTTCCTCATTCGTACAGTCTGAACTAGACATTTGTTTGAGGTTGAAAATATTCTAGAAATTTTAAAATTAAAAGCGGTTTACCAATTGATGTAAATTATGACCGTTCGTTTTACAAGGGTCCACGAGGTAAATATTTTTGTTATAGATTGATTCTCGTTGTTGGTAACCTCAGTGTTCTTTTTCAAAACACCTTCTGGTATAACAACTTTATTAACTTTAGCTGCTTTTTGAATGATCTTTTCAGCTTCTTTATATCTCCCTTTATTGATTAACCACCTGGGAGACTCATCAATAAACCTATGTCAGTCAAAATAAAACCTATATATATATATATATATATATATTTACAGACACATTGCTTTATATATTTAGTTTTAAAGAGGATAAAATTATCAAAAAAAATGTTTCGACAATATTTTTATATCGAGCATTATCGAATATTACGTGTTCTACTATCATGTATGTATCAAAATGTATTACTCAGTTCAAAACTCCTTTCCTTAATTGTTATAAAAAAATGACCAGGTACGGGCCCCCACGTAATATTACGCCGCTTAATTTGTTATGTTACCAGAAATATGAGAGTAGCAGAATATTCGGTACTGCTAGAGAGAGTTGAAGATATTTCCAATTTCTTATAAAATAAGCCATCGCTGCCAAGACAATGCTACCAAAACTCCAGAAATAATTAATAATACAACCAGTTAATGATCTTTTACTTGGCCCCACAAGTTCCATACCTGTAATAAAATTATTGCAGATTACCTTTTATCTTAGAAGTCATATAAGAAGCTATACAAAATACGGAAGCCCGGTGGGACTTAATCGTCTATCGGTATAGTTAAGTTCTATTAATATCTTATAATTAAGATATTAGGACTAAATCTAAATTTGTCTTTACGCACACAACATACCAACTGTAGCTGAAATCATTTAAGCAGTTTCGGAAAAGATGAAAACTGTCTAAATCACCCCCATTTAAGACGCCCAAGCCGCCTTAGGTTGATTACAGGGTGTTTGGCTAGGTGGGCTAAAATTGATGTACCGCATTGAATGAAATGGCGCATTTGCTTGGCGCTGTAACGTTATTTTTCACTATAATATATTATGTAATCACTAAAGGTATAAATGCTTGCACAAAAGGTTAATTATCAACTCAAGGCTCAATGTTTTTAAATACATTATGATAACACATACCCAATATAAATGCTGGCGTAAATGTTCCTGTGATAGCAGTACCAATAAAGAAATAAAATGTAAGAATGGCGACGATATTAGGCGACAACACCACGAATATTGTAGTTACAATCAGACAAATCAAAAAGGAACATAGTGTTTTCTTCCTTCCAAATCTGAAAAAAACCCAGATGATTACAGGGCGAGGAAAATCTGATACTTAAGTTTGCAGACATTTTTGTACACAGTCTAATCAGAAATGTTATTTTTCAAATTAGTTTTTGTTTCTGTCGCGCATGAACAACGGGTTCTTGCCGCTTTTTATTTCAACTATTGTTAACGGCCGTATTGTGGTTGTCTTCCTTGAATATTATTTACCCGTAAACGTTAGTATTCTGGAACTTTAAGCATCCCATTCTACAATAATACAAAATGTAACCCACCTATCAGATAAGGGCCCCACAAGGGCGCACCCAATTAACTGTCCGACCGCCAAAAGCATCTGGGCGTGTGATTTCCATATGGTTTTCTCGCAGACTAAATTCATCTAGAAATTTAATTTGTATAAGATTAAACCCAAAAAACATTTCTCTAAAGGTATTGGATAGTCTCTTATAGTATCTGGTAGTTTCTCAAAATATTTGAGAGTCTCTTAAAGTATCTGAGAGTCCCATAACGTATCTGAGAGTCCCATAACGTATCTGAGAGTCCCTTAAAGTATCTGATAGCCTCTCAATGTATCCGAGAGTCTCTTAAACTATTTGATAGACTCTCAAAGTATTCGATAGTCTCTTAAAGTATCCGAGTGTCGTAAAGTATCTGTTAGTCTATCATAGTATCTGAGAGCCTCGTAAAGTATCCGATAGTCTCTTAAAGTATCTGAGAGTTTCTAAAGATATCTGAGTGTCTGTTCAAGTATCTGATAGTCTCTTAAAGTATCTGGGAGTCGCTTAAAGTAATTTATCTGAGAGCAACAGGGGTGATAATATAAATTGTCATAATGAGTTTTTCCTTACAGCCAATTCTGTTCTTCTGTTGTAGATAAAGTTTATTTTAGTCCTAACTACCGGTGTTGTTAACCTCAAACAGAATTTCTGGTAAATCATTTATGCCACTATCAGTAACACCATCGAAACTACGGTAACTGTCTAATACCTTGGTACTAGAAGCTACGTTTGTATAAAGTTGCATGGTTTGTATATACATGTCGTTATAGAAATCATTGATAATAATAACCTAAATAGACAAAACTCTCTTGACTACAATTACTATCTATTGCAGATCCACGTTTCGACATGGAATCTCTAATCAAGTAAATAATGCAAATTTGAAGATGAAAAAACAAATTAATATAGATGTTTTTAATTTACACACTTTAATCACTAAACTTACTTGTGAAATAATGGTGTATTGGAATACAGATTCATCATAGACCCATCCATCACATTCTGTTACATTCTCCAGTGAGTTGTTGTTGGTAGCCCGTGTTGATATTGTGCATTGTTGATATATTTTATTATCATATTCAAACTCTGAGGATGACCCGTTTACCCCTCTTGTGTGAAAAGTGTCATTTCTAAGGTCGGGAGGGGTGCATCTTGAAATGAAGAAAACATTATACAACCGACATACATGTGATCGTGCTTTCTCACATAGCAACACTACATTATTTATATAATATGTCTTACCTATACTCCGGAATTCCAAAAGTAAAAACAGTAAGTAAAACTTGAATAGCACAGGATGACGACACAAAACATAACAGATAATACAGCCGTTTCTGATAAGGTCCAAAATCTCCGAGATGCTTTATAATTTCTTTAAAATCCATTTTCTCTTGACGCATCGCAAAGTGTATAGAAGGGTATATTTCTAATACACTATATAGGTCAAAAGAGGTAGCTATGGATGGCTTAACGTACATTGGCAGCACAATGTACTGAGCGCATGATATCAGTTGAACGACTTAATATTGTTCACAATGTAACTACAGCTGAACAATATGTCTTACATAAAGACGGTAAATATGCTACTGCATGGCCTACTTGTATTTATTCATAACTCAAGTACAGTCGTGTTTTAATTTTTGAAGAGGCTAGATAAACTATGGTGGCTGACACCACGATAACCCTGCAACCCGACATCACGACATTTTAACCCGACATAGGACATTTTAACGCGACATTACGACATTTTTAATGTCGTGGCTTTGGGTGAAAAAAAAATGTATTGTCGGGTTAAAATGTCGGGTTGGCGGGTTGTCGTGGTGATGAGTTAAAATGTCGTGATGTCGGGTTTTCGGGTTGTCGGGTTATCGGCCATATTCCTCTCAATACTATGATTATATCCATTGATCCTCGTTTTGGTCAACGAAATTTCCAGGGATTTTATCTCTTGGTTTCTCCATTGCGCCTTGCGGTAGTGAAGGACAATGTATAATATTGTAGATGAGACAAAAAAAAATTCTAGGACTTTAGGCAAGGGTTCAGGGGGCGCCTACGCCCCGGAAGCTCCCAGGGTCTAGATCGTCAGAGACACTTTCTGAGAGATTGGCTCATATAGGATCGTCAATTTCTAGGTCCCAAATAGTAGCGATTTAGCTCCTTTAAACTATGTGTTAAGGATCAAAAGTTCTTGGATGAGTTCGACTTTGGTATGCATCAGACCTTACATTGTAGATCTATAGTCCCTTGCTTTTCACCAAAATTAATGTGAAATATGTATGAATTCTCTTGGCCCTTCAGAGGGGCTACAAATTTTGTCCCATTCTGAGGATCAGAGAATGAGCCCTGTTGATGTTGCCTCTTACTCATACATTTCTTGCAAAATGTGGGCGTATCTTGCATGGCAACCACTTGTTTCAACTGGGCATAACTGATAGCAGTGAATTATTTGATGGATAAGGGACACAAAGAAAGATAGTGAGAAAAACTATATCCCTTCGTTCGTTGTTTTAATTACCTAATCTGTCATAGATACAATGGGAGTGAGATAGGGTTGAAATAAAAATCGACTGTTCAGTTAACTAATTGTGACCCTCGAAACCTGGGCCTCTCAACCCAGGGATCAGTATAGCGCATAGCAGGGTTTTAATAAAAAGTCTACGTACTAGAAGTCTCACTTATATGTTAAAATCAGGCCATTACTTGCGTGCAATAACCTGGAGAAAGGAGTACTTGTGGCCAAAATACTGGGGGGGGGGGGAGATAAAGCCCATATCCGCAAACTCCCCCCCCACCCCATCCCCCCCATCCCCTGGCGGGCCTGACATAGAAGAATCCTTCGCAATTGAAATTCGATGAAGAAATTCTGCGGTCCATTGAAAATGTCCGCCATATTACTCTGCATCATTGTCTGTATCAGGATATTCAATATAAGTATGTGATTTAATCTGATACATGACAGTTGATGGTATTTTATCATATTTAATATGTTTATATAATAATATTAATAACACACCTCGTCCAGTATGTTGACTTTCCATATCTGCCATATTCATTTCATACAGACACCAGTAACTTTTAATAAAATCTTGACTCATAACAAGAATTGTCTTTCTACTCGTCTTAACAGCAGTAACTATACCTTCAGCAATCGTTAATGAAGGAAGAAAATCTCTGTTATGAAGGCAAAGTCTTTATCCCGCTTCTTCTTCAACTTTTAATCTCATTGTTTGATCTACAAATAATCTGGCATCTTCCGAATAGGAAATAAAGAACTCATCGTTTCGAGTATGAATCTTGTGTGAACTCCGTGTCCATCGTGTCTCGCAAATTCCATCGTAGTCTATACACCAAACATCCAATAATAAAACAAATGATAATTGTTATACTGACACAATTAATGAAATCTGGAATGTGGGGCCTGTAGCTTATGTTAAATTCATTCATGATCATAATTTTGTATTTTAAAGCCACCACTGTAGCGTTTGAATAGACACATTTATAGTTAAATATGTTTCGGAAAGTAACACATCCACTTGAGAAATTGAAAATCATCGCAAATACAAAATAACCGATTATTATAAAGATCAACAGTTAAATTTGAAGATCGTCTGTCGGCTTTTTCCAGCTGATGTTGGATAGATCTATTGAATATAATTATTGGAAATACCAATGAAAGAAAGGTTCTGCATGTGTGTCAACTCAATATAGAAGATTCTTAATGCATTATGACTCAAATCCAAATATCGACAAGATACTCTTGGGTAATGTATTTAGACTATTAAAAGATAAATCTATACGAGTAAGCTTATTGAGATTTCTAAATATCGATCCTTTAACATCTTTAGAAAGACTTGGGTGCAGTCTGTTGTGCGAAATATGCAACCTTTCCAAAGACTGAAAATGACTGAAAAATTGGGCATCAACGCTGTCACAAATATTATGAGAGAGATCTGTATGTTGTCTACTTCAGTAACATTACCCCGACATTAACACAATTAGTGCAATCTTCATCTATAAAGAAAGGTTAGTCTGTTATTAAAACACCATTACTTTCGTCGTCGAATAATATTCGATTTGACACCAATGTCGCTGTTTGGCTCGGTTATGTTGCATGGGACGCGGGTGAAGAAGCATTAGTTACATATCTATTTGGTTACCTGTTTTTATATGCAGCCCATTTTTTTTTTCAAACAGTCACGGTGACTCGGTGAGTAAGACGTTGACTCGCTAGCATGGAGGTCTTGGGTTCGCTCCCGATGTTAGCCGAGAAAGTTCCTCGGGATTTCCCGGCGTGGCTTTCCTTTGTCAGTTGTACAGAGGGAGAGATTAGCAATGACACCTGTTAGTCGTCCGAATGGGGGAGAGAGAGAGAGAAATGGGGTTTAACGTCCACTCGACACAAACTAGGTCATTTCGGGACTAACATATGGTTCAATTTTATTTCAATAATTCGCTTGCGCATAGGGGTCTTTAGCAGTGGGAGGAAACCGGAGGACCCGGAGAAAACCCACGAGGTTGGACAGGCGACCCAACTCCTTGTCACGTACAACCGGGGATTCGAAACCACGCCAGTCGAATCAATGACAGACTTTGTGATAAAGCGCGCGCACGCTAACCATTCAGCCATCCACCCCCCTCGTCCGAATGGGACGAAAAGCCGAGGTCTCTTTTACATATTGGCGTTCACGTAAAAGAACCGTTGACAGTTGCCGCAACGTTTCTCTCATAGTACACTGCATACATGGCGTATGCTCGTCTTCATTATCCATTTCATTTCTTTAAACAGCCTATCGCTTGAATTGATTTATAACACAGATTCACTATTTTTCCACTGTCTTTATGAAACACTATTTTAGAGAAGTTTCGAAAAAAAAAGAAATAATATAGAATAGGGATAAACTTGCTATTATTCTGCGCTAACCGGGATAATGAAGACGAGTATACGCCATACAGTGTGCCAACCCTTCATCAAATTCTAACTGGGCATTGGTTGTTTGTCTCATCCGAACTACGAGCCGCCTTTTCCTTGCCCCACTGACAAGGGGAAACCAGACTGAAAAGGTGAATTACAATGAAAGTATGACATTCCAATTCACACAACAAAGTGGATTTGTACAGAGAAAACTATGCCTTGTACATGTAGATATTTCCGTCTCCACATCTAAGTGTTTGGGATTTAATCGACACAATTGAGTTTCAGATGGTTAATAAACTGCACCAATGTATTATTTCACACGCTGTACCCCCATCGGTGACATTTAAATGTCACATAGACGATGACACATCAATTATTTATTTGTATCACAGTACTAACCATGGTTAATATCTTCGGTCACATCATAGTGCCACTACGGGTCCGACTAAGTACAGTTAACCTCATCAAGTGTTTAATTTAAAAATATTTTATTGTTCTAATTAACAAGTGGATAAGGCACAAGTTTTACAACTTAGAACGCCATCTCCAGTACATACATTTACATAAACAAATAATCATAATCGAACACATTACATTTGCAATATAGTCTTTTTTGCATATCTGAGGCAGTTCAGCATACGATTGGTTGGGTAGTTCAGCATACGATTAACAAGAATCCAGCTTTCGAATCAGTTCGATGCAATTGGCTTAACTAGACTAGCATTAGCTCTGCTCATTGGTTTAACTTTGATGGCCTCAGTCCATTTTCTTATTTAAATTTCCGTTCAAGATAAGTAGTTATTCTGAACTCTACAGAAACGCAAGGAAATAGTGCACAATATTGTCATACTGGCTACGAAATTTTGGATTTTATAAATTTACTATGTTGAATGTTAGTAAAGATGTACTCTTCAGAAAAAAGTAACGCAAAGCCAGATTTTCAATGGATGTTTCAAACATGGACATAACACAATTTGAAAATTTTTCGCAGATAAACAACAGCAACCGAAGCTTTAGTGACAGTCATCGAATGCCCCAACGTTAGATTTGACATCACGTACAGTTCGGCGTAGAATGCGGAGCATGAATCGGGATTCATCGTTGCACCATACGTGCCTCCATCGTTCATGAGGCCATATATACCCTATATCTGGCGATGCTGCCTGGTCAAAATTACGCCTCTAACAAGACGTCTTGGTGGTAACCCTGCCTCTCGTAGGCGGTTCCGAGATCCTGCGCAGTCCCGGTTTTGAGGATGCAGTGGAGACAGCAGTTGCCGTCCTTTGGTAACCTCTGATCTGGTCTCGCCTGCTTGCAATCGTCCGATGGCGTTGTTCCTCTTAGCTTCGCCCAGTCTTGGCATTATAAAATCTGTTTTTAAACTTTTAACCGAAGTGAAGCAGAACTGAAGACCCTGAACTTTTGGTGCTTGCTGTGCCTTTTGCACGTGCATACCATGCCGTTGCGTAAAGCTCGGTTCATACTACATCCGTATCCATAAACATATCCGCATCCGTATCCGCGTTTTGCCGTTCAAATAGAAAACGCGAAAACGTCCGGCTTTCAAGGCTGAATTGTC